ACAGCCAAGTACAATCCTTCCTCAATTTACATGGTAATTGCATTCTTAAAACAATCAGTGGTTATTAAAACTGCAAAACAAAGTTAGATATGCAAAATGGAATTGGGTCAACAACATTAAGGTAGTCACATGGATTTTTCACAGCCACAAAAGGCCAACAGGACATAGAAATTCGGGCAGGGTTCAGTTTTTTGGCTTCTAGGACAGTTCTCAGATCAGAAATGGTCTAGTATCCTGGCTTCTTGCCACACTGATATATTATGAAACTAAAAATGTTCCCACACATTTCCAAACCCCACCAAACGACTTTCCCAGCACCACTTGGGGTCTGTGGGTAACCAAGGGCATGAGCTCAAGACCTGTCCTACCAAACACTGCCCTCAGCAAGATCTGCTCTCTTTGTGGCTGTCCTGCTGTAGGTCACCCTGGTCTTAATTCAACACATGTAAGATGTGAATGGTCATTGTCTCCCAGGAAACCAGCTGAGATGAGCATGCAGACAGGGAGGGGCTCTCAGGGACAACAGCCATGAGGGACTGAAGGAAGCATGACTGGGCAGAGGGAGAGGCTGGGTGCAGTGCAGTCCAACCAAAACCACAGCTGATCAAACAGGGATCTCAGGGGCTGTGGTTCCCTTCACAACTGTCCTAACTTCAGGCCATCCTGCCACTGCAGAGGCAAATGCAGGGCAATATTTGTGCAAGTTTAGCTAAAGGAGGTGCCACCCACACTGCTAAACAGTCTTTTGATTTTTCCTGCATTTGATTTTTTAATGAAATAATGGCAAAGGAAGATCAAGGAATGTTTGTCTTAATCTTTTCAGGCTACTATAAACAAAATACCATAGACTGAATGGCTTACAAACAGCAGAAATTTCTCACAGTTCTGAGGCTGGGAAGCCCAAGAATGACACATGCAGATTCACATCTGGTGAGAACCCACTTTCTCGGCTGTCCTCTTACTGTGACCTCACAAGGCAGAAGGGGCAATCAAGGGTGCTTTCAAGGGCCTCTTCTGTAAGAGCACTGATCCCACTCATCATCTCCCAAAGGCCCTAGCCCCTATCATCACTACATTGAGGGTTAGGATTTCAACATTTGAATTTGGAGAGAGACACAAACCTCCAGTCCATAGCAGTGTATTTCTTCACTATCATTTACTCATTTAGAGGCAGGTAAATCATGTGGAAAGGGTGAGCTGGGAGAGACTTGTAGACAAAGCCCTGAAAGAATTTCCCTGTTAAATGACCAATTTTGAGTATGTTTAGTTTTCCTTTTATATAACTTTTTTCACATTAACCAAGTATTATAATCCCCATCTTACAGATGAGGAAATTGAGGATCAGCAGGTGACTGTTTCTTAATCTCCCAGTTAAAAGAGCCTGATTCCAAGTCTCACCCTTTCCACCAAAACCATCTCACAGATGTTCACACTATGCAATGCATTAAAGTTTAGTGAACTGAAATATTAAGTATTAAATATTAAATCCTCACTTTTTCCCATTTGTGTGCAAGCTTCTGTGTGTGGGTTCATTACCCATTGAGCTCCAAAGTCAGAGAGAATCCCAATCTCCCCACTTAAAAATTACATGTGCAGAGATACTTCCTGTCTCTAACAGAATCCCATAAATTGAAAATTGCTGGGAAATGGACAGACATAAAATGCATACCTCTGAGAATATGGCTATACTGTCCTCAATGTCATTATCAAGGGCTTGGCAATAAGGTAAATCATTATTTTACCTTTGAAAGAAAACACCCTTAATTATAGCCTTTAGATAACAGAGATAGATCCTTCTTATACTTTTGAAAACAAAACTTACATGTCCGAAGATACATACAAATTAATAACAAGTTTGTTTTAAAAAACTTTATCCCAAAAGTACAGGTAGAAAATGTTCTAGATTCATTACTTTCAAAACGAGTTCTACAAGAATCAATCTATTAAAGACAATACCAAATTTGGAGTATAATTCACCTAAATGATTACATCACATTGAGGTATGTTTGGACTGGAATGGCCACAGCCCATACCCTGCCTTTCCCCATCTTGGGCATGTGGCAGCAGTCCACACTCCAGTCATTTCCATATCCCTGACTGCTTTAGCTGAACTATCTGCTTGGGGTTGGTAATAAATGGCTTCATTTTGTTTGTCCACTGAGCACCTCCACTTACAGAAAGAAGCCCTTCTTACTGGAAAGTTCCACATGGTTCCACCTCCAGACCTTCCCCTGTAACATTCCTGGGGAGGCCAAGCAACCCAGATCACTTTTCTGAACTACCAAGGACTATGGTGAGGTAAGTGAGGCACTTACTTCATGTACAAAATGTAAGCAGGTGCCTAAAACTCAGTAATTAAGAGAAGTACTATTTTAATGCAGCATTTAAAAAAAAAAATTACTGTAAAATTCATGAATACCCAAATTTTAAATAATTACTGATTTTCCTTTGACCTCACATAAGAATATGGCTCTGCACAGCATTGTTATTTAAAAATGATTTATCTTTTTATAATATTCTTGACCTTCCACCAGCATTTTCCTTTTCTTTTAATGGAGGGGATTTAGTGCATTCCCAACATAACTCACCCTTTTTCTTTCTTAGTCCTTTGCTGAGTTTTCCCAACAAGGTGACATGAAACAGAAGCCTGTAAACTTCACTATTTATCTTCTTTGCAGCATTCTTTCATGTTACCCTGATATAGGTACTGAAGCAGCAATGAGCTAGTGTCACTCACTTTCTCATATTTGTATGACCTGGCACTTCATGTGTCATTTGTAAATAACTTCATCACTGTAGCCTCAATAGTCTCTCTAAATTACAGTTCTTGAAGTGAGTCATTTTAATACATAATCATATAATACCTACCTTGCTGGCTGACATATATTTCCTCTGAAAGAAAAACACCATGAGCTACTTGAAGTAGTCTACCTGCTTTCTGTTTGCACCCTCGTAACACCTAACAATGGGCTAGCATGTAAGTACTGAAAACCCACAATGTCCTTTCTCTGGACACTAAGAATCATCTCCTTGCTTTTTGGCACATATATCTGTGGAATTTGCGATGGTGTAATTAATGAACTCATTCTTTTCATGTGGAAGAGATGCTATTGATCATTCCTCTTGGTCTCACTCTAAGAAATGTTTATACAACCTTTTAGAATTATTGCCTTGTATCAGTATTTATTCACTTGAAGGGATCCCAGCTGGCTGAAGTACATGAACTAATGCTGAAATCTAGAAGCACTACTCAAAGCTGCACTGGCAAACAGAACACTTCTTTTATCTTTCAAATGCATGAGGATTTTGCATTCAAATCCATAATTCATTCACTCAGTAAATATTAGGTGCCTAGTCAGTGCCAGAGATTGTTACAGGAATACAGCAATAAATACATAAATTTGTGTTTGTTTTCAACCCAGTATTTTAACGCAGCATTTCAGAATGCAGAATTCAGAAAGTTTAATGTTCTAGCCACCTCAATCTTCTAATATTTTATACAATTTAGCTAGAACAGAAAAACAAACACAAAAATTTTCCCAAACTTGGCTGAAGAGCAAAAGCGATAACCCAAGATGGGCCAATTATTATTTCAAATACCACTAGCCACACTTTTGTACATCCTGGGATTATATGCTCTCCAGATTGAGAAGCAGAGTCTTCAGTTAATTCTCAGAATATAAAGCCAAAAAATATTAACAGCAAAGTTAGTATTTACTGTGGATGAAAATACTTGGGAGTATCACTAAAACTAACCAGGTTGTCTTCATTTCCATACCAGTTTCTGCCTACATTCTAAAATGATAAAGGTGAAAATCTACTTCAATACCCATAAAAAAAAAACGTATAAAACTTAGACTTAAAAATCATTTATTGGGGGAGGTGGAATGACTTGACTCTTCAAGGTCAAGTCTTCACTCACCTCAGCATTACAGTGCTCCCCATGCCATTTCCTAAACTAAACTGAACAGCTCTTTCAAGTTCTTATGCATCTGCTGATTAGCTTCAAAAAGCATCTCTCCCTAGGAAAAGCAAAATCTCACCAACACAAACTTTTGGACTTTTCTCTGGCTCAGAAATGCTGAATATTATTGTTATTCCATTTTATGGGTTGAGATTAAGGCTTGTGGAAAGTATTAAATTCCTCAATGATATTCTTAAGTAATTTGATTTTAATCATGAGGTCTGACTCCAAAAATAAATGTGAGATTGATACTGCTGTGTTTGTGGGTGTGTGGTATATGTATTTTTTTTTAGCGGAAGCAGCTATTTAATAGTACAAGTGATTCCCATTGGGGTTAAAAGCCCTCTAAAACTGCAGTGATAAGATGATTGTATGAAACCTGACTGCCCCTACCTGGAGTCCCCAAGTCAATCATTATGAATTATTACAGAGAAGGTCTCACATGAACACAAATGTGGACTTATGGTTCTCTTGCAGATAGTATACAACCCTAAGAATGCAGATCCCTTCAAACTGGTTAATTAGAAGAGTAAAGGAACACCATAACACATAGACTTTACAACCTGTAAGAAAGAGGTTCTTAATCAGAAGTGTACATCAGAATCGCCAGTGTCACTGGCATGAGATTTCACTGTTTTAAAATTCAGATTGAAGCTCAGTGTTTATTAACCTAAATTGAGAAGGGCCTAGGAGTGTACAACTTTTACCTCCACAAATGATTCTGATTCAAACAGGACTATAGGCCTAAAATCCTGACTATATAATATGGACTACTGGTTTTGTTAAGACTTAAGTTTAACATGCTCAAAGGTCAGAATTCAGAAAGTTTAATGTTGTAGTCACCTCAATCTTCTAATATTTAAGCCACCACTTCTCCAGCATAGAAATTTTGAGTTACTGCACTTACTTATATATTAACTCACACGTGCACAGCAACAATGTTATCTTTAAGTCTTGGTGTTTGGGGCAGGATTTCTCTCCAACACTAACTGATTTTAAATGTGACCTTCTTCCCACCAATAAAAGGGATTGAACATTTTATATTTGAAATTTTATGGTCAGTTTATTCAGTTCAATGATGAAAGCTATCAGAAGAATATTCTCCTGAAAATCATTTTTTCTTAGAAAAAAAGAGGAAAATCACCATCACCTTCTCAGCATAGCCACAGATGCTATGGCAGTCAAGACTCTCTGCAGAAGGGAACAGTTCATTAGTCAGTCAAGTCACTCTCTGGGTCAGCAGGATTGTAATCTGGATCATCCTCATCATCCTCCAGCTCCAAATCATCCATTTCCTGGAACAAAGACTCATCTACCTCCACACTGTTTCCAGCTGCAAGACAAAAGATTTCAACTACAGTCTTATACTCAGGAATAAAAAGACAGAACTTCTGAATGTGCATGTGAGGTGCAAGGAATGAAACCCTAACCTGTGGTATGTCACATCATACCAACAATGATCTATACTGATCTGCAGAGACTCACATATTTTAAGAGCAACTTCATACTTTCAGGTCATAGTTCAAAAAATCCAGTTATTAAAAAAAAAGCCTCCCTAGAATGAATTATTTATAATGTTACATGTTGTAAGTTGAAGACAATAATGATATGCCCTAGTTGTACAAAGTTGATTATCTGCTGGTAGAGGTCCTCAAGAAAACAACAACCAGTTGGCTCACTAGCTGGTTGCCAGCTATCAGAGGTTTCCCACGCCCTCCGGTCCTTGGAATGTGCATTCCACCTGCCTTCCCTGCTCCCAGAGGCTGCTCTAAGGACAGAGCCTTGAGACAGTGATATGTTGTTGAGCCCATCTAGGTGGTATACATTACTGAACTCCGTTAAAGCCTCTATATAAACATTTAAGATTTGGTGGGCAGATGCAGAGATCTATTTATTTTGCAGTATCCCAAGATAAGCCTCATATGTATGTTCCCTTGCTTACTAAACCTTCCACCTGCCAATCAAGAGTGGCCTGACTTTCTTTGATTTCTCCTGCCCTCACACGGGGGCATGGATTTCAGATTATCAAGCTGCTAGGGAGCTTGCAAACTAATATTTTCATGGACCATGGGACCCACGCCTGTTTACCTCTTTTAATTGTGGCAGATATGTACATCATTGAAGACCAACTATTCTTGTTATTTAACCAATAGGTCTTACTTGTTCTTTGTTACCTAGTACCCTTGTAACCAGTTATGCCTTTCCAAAATTCCAAATGTCTAAGCTCTGTGGGAAGCAATACCCAGGCTTTTCATCAAACATCTCTACTTTTCAGTCTGTCTGAAGTACATAAAGGTAGGTAGGACATTATAGTACTCTTAAGTCACCAAAAATTGTTCACCTTCCTTTCTTGTCAGACTGTAGCCCAATGACACTCAACTCTGTGAGAAGTCTTGCTTCACGCCCACGAGCAGTTTAGTAATAAAATACAATTTGCTAAGTCCAGGCCAAAAAATATCTGATTCTGTCTAGGAGAGAGAGTGAAGACTTCACAAAGCAAATAACATCTGAAATATCTTCATGATAAACTTGAATTCAACAAGAAGAAAAAGCAATTCTGAGTAGAAGCACACACAAAGGCAGAGAGAAAAGGTAAGACCTTGAATACTTCTTACACAAGATTCTTAAGGAAAAATATATGAAGATAACAGATGAGAGCCAGACTGGAGGATGGTATAGGTCAACCTTTTTCTAAGCAAGAGAACCATTAAAGAATTTTAAGGAGAGAAATGTCATAATTAAATAAGGGTTTTAGAAATTCCACCTGAGATGGTGGTGATTATAGGACTCTAGGAGGAGGAAGAGACTAAAGCAGAAAGATAATTTAAGCAGCTACCACAAAAATCCAGATGAAAAACGATAAAACATTTAAATCAGAAGGAAAGAGCCAAAAAGACATTCTAGAGACAGAAACAATAGACAAGTTTTGATGAGTTATTGGATATGAGGAGATACTGATCCGTCAGAAAGGAAAGAGTCAAGAATGAATGAAGAGAGTCAAATTTCTAAAGTGCAAGAAAGAATAAGACAAAGCTTTCTGTATCTGGAATTTCTCAAAACAGGAGGTACAGTGAGCTACTAAACTGAGAGGGGGCTAGATGAGGACATTCTTTCTGTTCTGATGTTGTTGTTAGGACTGTAGAAATCAAGAATGTAATGAAATACATGTAAAAAAATAAAATGCTGACTGCATTAAGGACTCAGCTCAGGTTGCGAAGCATGATATAACTGTGGGCCACATCAACACTGCTTCTTAACCTTCTGTAGCAGATAGTTCAGGAAAAAGGTTGAATGGCTACAGGTTCCCTAACTGGCAAGATGGGTGTGACGGAAGGCTAATGATGTGCAGAACTTTAGGATGCTCTTGGAGGTGTGACTGAATATGGAGTCCAATTTTAAAACACACACACAGGTCACAAGCTCAGTAGAGTCAGGGAATCTAATTTTCTCTGCTATATGCTCTGCGGCCAGGACAGCACTTGACTTACAGTCAGGGGTGCAATAAATATCCATGGACAGATGGGAGAATGAAAGGAGAAGGAAGGCTTAAGAGACTAGATGGTCTAAACATAGTAATAGTAGTATGAAATATAAGATTTTTGGTTAGAAGTAATGAGAAGTTCCAGACTTGAGGTTTTTGTAAAACTCCATTACAAACTATGGAATATAGTGTGCTCCTAGAAATTTGAGGAAAACAGGTCACCTGAGTCACAGTGGCCTGGTTTATTAACTGTCAGAGGGTAATGTGACCATAATTGTTTATTTATTGCTATCTTTCATGTTTAAGTTACCAGAGAATTTTTTTTTAAATACATTGCTATACTTTAATGTATAAATTGATTTACATTAGAATTTATTCTTCAAAATGTATTTCTTCACAGCCTTGGGAGGAAAAATTTACATTGATTTACCACTAATTTTTATGGTTTAATATATTAAAAATAGCATACAATGTACATGTAAAATTCTACTATCTTACCATCCTCCAAGAACTGGATATCAGATGTATCAAGATTATGATCTGTTTCAAATAGTTGTTTCCCTGAAAGAAGAAAATATGTTTAATTTAAATGGCGTAGTTTTCCTCCATCTTTCCTACAGCCCTTTAAAAAGTATAATAATCCAAGAAAACAAGTTTGAAAACCAGTTTTTCTGTGAATTTCAATAAATTTACAAATTTCATAAGTAGCTAAGGGGCATAGGAAATGTATTTGCATTAAAATGGAACAAGTGAAAATCCAGTCTGCCTTGGAGTCCTAGAAAAACAAATAGGTTTGACTCTATTCACTTCCAAGGCTTCTGATCGATCCTGAAGGTCCTGGTAGCTATTCCCAAGATGTACTGATTGCACTAGTTAGATCAAAGATAAGCCACAAAAATTAATTATAATTATGTATGAAGAAACATCATGCAGAGAGAATAGTTTCTCTTTTTGTCCTAGATTCCTAAGTATACTATTTCTTACAGAAATCTGTCCAAATGATCTTTTTGCTATATAAGTAATAGAGGAGGACTTGGGGGGGGGAGAGCAGGAGTCATACCACTTAATTTATTTTTTCCAGCTTGTTCTTCTTCTTTCATTCGTTTCTTTTTAATTTCCAAGAGTTCTGCATCAAACTTGGCCTTCCAACTTAAGAAATTCTCAATTGTAACAGGAGTGCCATGAAATAATTGCTTAGAAAATTAAAAAGACATGTCACTAGACAAATGAGACAACAGTTTAAAGCATAACACCTAAGGATCCTCCAGATAAATGAATCTGTATCATCACTTAAAGGAAAAGCACAAAGAACTGTTTCAAGTTTTGGAATACTTAACCTGATTTCTGCCTGCACAGGATACTCTCATTGATTTTGGGAATTTACTCTAGAACAGTCTACTTTTTATTTTAATTACAAAAAAACAAAGATAATATGCAGTGTATCATCCCATTGTTATTCACTGTTAAGAAGAAAGTTGTTTCTGTAAGTAATTAATGTGTTTTGAATACAAATCAACATACAATACTAATACCATAGCTTTATCATTTTTACTTCATTTCAGAATTTGAGATTTTTTTTATAGTTTATGTTTAAATTGCTCTGGTGGACCTTTATAATTCTAAACTCTAACCATAAGTGAAATAATTTCTATTTATTTATCTTACCTGCATGAGCTTTACTAATGATTACTAATCATTACTCATGCCATGTCACCAACTGAATGAGGTACTTCTCAAATTTTACTTAGTAAAGCCCTGCTAAAATTTACTTTTATTTTTGTGATTTCAAGGAAAAAAATTACTGGAATTTCCAAAAACAAAGCAAACAAAAACCAAAAAACCAAACCAAAGAAGAACAGATTTAAAGAATAATGAAAGAAAATGGCTTTTAGATATACCTTTTCAGATTCTTCTGCTTCTTTTTCTTTTTGTTTCTTTTCTTCTTCTCGTCTAGTTTTTATTTGATCTACTATTTGATTTAATTTCTCTTGCACAGCTGTTACTAAAGTAAAGATCATCACCATACCACGGTTTTCCTCTGCCTATGTAACCAAAAAAAAAAGTTGTAGCATTAAACATGCTTCTCAGAAAAATAAAAACTAACCAATGAAAGAGGTTTAGCATAATCACTAAGCTCCATGCATTTATAAATATGATTACTAATTCAACTATACCCTAAGTTCACATTTAGATAAATGATCATAAAAATTGAGCATATGTATAACAATATCTTAAATTTTACAAGTTGTGTGCTAAATCCAACCAAAAATAGGTATTTCAATAAATTCTGTCTAACAATCATAAATGTAGATAGAATTCAGAAAACCTTTTCCTACAGTAGCTAGTAACAGCAGTTCTCCATCATGTTTTGTTTTAGTTCTTTCTGGATATTTTAAGAGCTGTGACAATGAACTGAACTTTGAGGCCAAAGTGATTTTCTAACATAACAGGTAATAAAGAAAGTACGTACTTTTGTAATGTACCTTTATGTGCCTTTTCTTTCAGTTTGAAATGGTTTAAAACCAAATATAAAAGCACTTCCACTTCACAAAAGGAAAATAATTCAAAAGCTATTTGGAAGTTGGTCATTTGAAGTCAGAATTAAATAAAACAAGACACCTAGTTTACCCAGAGAAATAAGATAGGATTCCAAGGAAGTAAACCAAAAAAATCCAAAATGTAGAAGACAATTTCCATGCGATAGGCAGGAGAGATTTCCAAGCATTCTTAATAAGGGTGTCATCAGCACAATTTGAGTGGGTATTTCATCTCCTGGGCCCTCCATGAGAACAGAGATTCAAACTAGCTTCTATAATCCTCTTCTATGTAATCCAGTAATCCTCTGTGAATTCTCCACACTAAGGATCCTAAATCTGACTCTCAACAATCTCTCCCCTGAGTTTTTAAACTACCAACTGGACAACGACTTGGATGACCCACATGTATTTCAACACTGAAACCATCATCTGCACAAAATCTATTTCTAAATCTTCCATCTCAGAGAATCATACCTCCACTCACACAGCCCAAATATTCCCATCCCATCATAAACTCTATTACTGCCTCTTAGCTATTCTTAAATATATAAATCTGCTTACTGGAATGGGAAGGAAAGATGGCACCATGAGAGGTGAGACAGGTGCCTCCTCCTAAAACCACGTATAATATGAAAATATAGTTAATACAATTAATCCTGAAAGAGCAACAGGGAAGAAGGTTGCACCAGACTGCATACACCTGGGTGGAAGAGGGTAATGTTCCAAAGCCATGATCTGGCAGGACCCAAGACCCTCCCCCACTCCAGCTCACCGGTGGGAGGAAGAGAAATGGAGTGGGGAGTGAGTGGAGGCCTGGGACTGCTGAACACCCAGCCCTGGAGATTTTCTCTGGGAGCATGAACCTACAGTGCATGGTGCTCTGAAGATTAGTGGAGTTGAAAAGCTAAGACAGGTGGAGACTGAGATAACAGCCACTTGTGGAAAACGGATCCACATCCGGCTGCTCTGGGACAAAAGAAAGGTGGGCAGTCTGAGACTTCCTAACAGTGAGAGGGCTGCTGAAGGGGCAAGGACTGCACAGAGCTTGCTGCTCAGGAGAAAAGACAGGTGGGCAAAATTGTATGGGTGCACTTTGCCCAGCAGGCTGGGAACCTTCAAGAGCTTCAGGCACTCCATCCCCCTGGCTTGCTATGCAACTACAAGGCCCCCCACCGTAACATGCAACTTGTGGCACCTTCCTCCAGGCAGGCTGGCACTCGCTCACAAAATGGCAGCCCCTTCCCTGGAGCAGGCCAGCCAGAGGGAGGCCCTGTCCATGGCAGCTGCAAACACAAAGCACAGAGGCTTACACCTGTGTGCACAGCCCACTGGTTCTGGCAGTAGAGACAGGCACAGCAGCTGGGAAGCAGGAAACAGCTCTTTCCTCCCCCCAGGCACAAGTACCACTCCTCTGCAACCCCCGACATTGCTCCAGGGGCTGAGCAGCTCCACAGAGTAGAGCTTCTGGGCAATAGACGGTGCCACATACAAATATGAAATGTCAAAGGAACCCAATTCAAAGCAAAGTCCTACATACACCAGAAAAAGAGTCAAATGAAACTGATCTCATCAATCTTCCTGATAGAGATTTCAAAATAAAAATCATGAACACGCACATGGAGGTACACAAAAAAATACAAGAACTCAGGGACAAATTCAGGACTGAGATTCAATCATTGAGGAATAAAATATTGGAAATGAAACATATAATGGAGGGATTTAAAAGCAGATTAGATGAAGTAAAGGAGACAGTAAATTGAATAGAAATTAGAGAATAGGAATACAAAGAAGCTGAGGCACAGAGAGAAAAAAGGATCTCAAGGAATGAAAGAATATTAAGAGAATTCTGTGAAAAATCCAAACAGAACAATATTCGCATTACAGGCGTACCAGAAGAGGAACAGAGAGAAAAAGGGATAGAAAGTGTCTTTGAGGAGGTTATTGATGAAAACTTCCCCAGTCTGTGGAAGGAGATAGTCTCTCAGGCCATGGAGGTGCACAGATCTCCCAACACAAGGGACCCAAGGAAGACAACACCAAGACATGTAATCAGTAAAACGGCAAAGATCAAGGATAAGGACAGAGTATTAAAAGCAGCCAGAGAGAGAAAGAAGATGACATACAAAGGAAAGCCCATCAGGCTATCATCAGCCTTATCAACATAAACCTTACAGGCCAGAAAAGAGTGGCATGATATATTTAATCCAATGAAGCAGAAGGGCCTTGAACCAAGAATACTCTATCTGGCAAGATTATAATTTAAATTAGAAGGAAGGATTAAGCAATTTTCAGATAATCAAAAGCTGAGAGAATTTACCTTCCACAAACTGTCTCTACAGTATATTCTGGAGTGACTGCTAAAGAAGGAAGTGTTTCTAATGCTAAACAGCTGTCACCAGAGGACATAAAACAACAGTAAAGAAAGTAGAACAATTCATTACTAAGCAGATGCAAAATCAAATCAACTACCCCAAAAGTCAGTCAAAGGATAGACAAAGAGTACAGAATATGATACCTAATATATAAAGAATGCAGGAGAAAGAATAAGGAGGGAAAAAAAAAAAACGTTTAGATTGTGTTTGTAATAGCATACTAAGTGAGTTAAGACTCTTGGATAGGAAAGAAGTTACTCTTGAACCTTTGGTAACCACGAATCTAAAGCCTGCAATGGCAATAAATATATACCTATTGATAATCACCCTAAATGTAAATGGTCTAAATGCACCAATCAAAAGACAAAGATTCACTGAATGGATAAAATAACAAGACCCTTCCATATGCTTCCTAGAAGAAACTCACTTCAAAACCAAAGACATACACAGATGAAAAGGGAAGGGAAGGAAAAAGATATTTCATGTAACTAAGAGGGATAAAAGAGCATGAGTTACAGTACTTGTATCAGACAAAATAGACTTAAAAACAAAGAAAGTCACAAGAGACAAAGAAGGACATTACATAATGATAAAGGGGTCAGTCCAACAAGAGGATACCCACGTACCTACGTACCCAACACAGAGTACCCACATATATGAAATACTAATAGAATTAAAGGGAAATAGAATGCAATGCATTCATTTTAGAAGACTTCAACACACCAATCACTACAAAGGACATAACAACCAGACAGAAAATAAGGAGACAGAGGCACTGAAAACACACTAGAACAGATGGACCTAACGGACATCTACAGAACTCTACACCCAAAGCAGCAGGATACATTTCTTCTCAAGTGCACAGGGAAACTTTCAATAATAGATCATATACTAGCAAACAAAAAGAGACTCAGTAAATTCAAAAAGATTGAAATTGTAATAACCAGCTTGTCAGACCAGTAGAAATAAATAACACAAAGAGCATCCATTCATGACAAAAACTCTCAACAAAATGGGTAGAGAGGGAAAGTACCTCAACATAATAAAGGCCATATATGACAAATCCACAGCCAACATCATACTTGACTCATAGAAGCTGAAAGCTTTTCCTTTAAAGGAACAAGACAAGGATGCCCACTCTCCCCACTTTTATTCAACATAGTTCTGGAAGTCCTAGCCATGGCAGTCAGGCAACACAAAGAAATAAAAGGCATCCAGATTGGCAAAGAAGAAATCAAACTGTCTCTGTTTGCAGATGACATGATAGTGAACATAAAAAACTCTTAAGAATACACTACAGAACTAGTAGACCTAATAGCTGAAATCAGCAAAGTTGCAGGGTACACAGAAATCTGCTGCATTCCTATACACTAACGATGAACTGGCAAAAAGAGAAATCAGGAAAACAATTCCATTCACAATTGCATCAAAAATAATAAAATACCTAGGAATAACCCTAACCAAGGAAGTGAAAGATCTATACTCTGAAAACTACAAGACACTCTTGAGAGAAATTAAAGAAGGTACCAATAAATGGAAACACATCCCATGCTTATGGATAGGAAAAATTAATATTGTCAAAACGGTGTTCCTGCCTAAAGCAATCTACAGATTCAATGCAATCCCTATCAAAATACCAACAGCATTCTTCAAAGAACTAGAGCAAATACTTCTAAAATTCATATGGAGCCAAAAATGACCCTGAATAGCCAAAGCAATCATGAGATGGAAAAATAAAGTGGGGAGGATACACTCCCACACTTCAAGCACTACTACAAAGCCACTATAATCAAGACAATTTGGTACTGGCACAAGAACAGACCCAAAGACCAATGGAACAGACTAGAGCACCCAGCTATAAACCCAAGCACATATGGTCAATCAATATATGATAAAGGTGCCATAGATATACAATGGGAAAATGACAGCCTCTTCAACAACTGGTGTGGGTAAAACTGCACAGCTATATGTAAGAGAATTAAAGTGGATTATTGTCTAACTCCATACACAAAGTAAACTCAAAATGGATCAAAGACCTGAATGTAAGTCATGAAACCATAAAACTCTTAGAAGAAAAGATAGGCAAAACTCTCTTGAATATAAACATGAGCAACTTTTTCATGAACATATCTCCTCAACATGGGGAAAAAAGCAAAAATGAATGGAATACATCAAGCTAGAAAGCTTCCATACAGCAAAGGACACCATAAGCAGAACAAAAGGCATCCTACAGTATGGGAGAATATATTGTAAACTACATATCCGACAAGGGGTTAACATCCAAAATATACAAAAGGCTCATGCTCAACACCCAAAAAGCAAATAACCAATTAAAAAATGGGCAGAGAATATGAACAGACAATCCTACAAAGAAGAAATCCAGATGGCCAACAGGCACATGAAAAGATGCTCCACAGAGCTCATCATCTGGAAAATGCAAATTAAAACCACAATGAGATAGATATCACCTCACACCAATGTGGATGAACATCAAAAAGACTAGGAACAATAAATGCTGGCAAGGATGCGGAGAAAAGGGAACCCTCCTATACTGCTGGTGGAAAGGTAAACTAGTTCAACCATTGTGGAAAGCAATATGGAATTTCCTCAAAAAACTAAAAATAGAAATTTCTTTTGACCCAGGAATTCCACTCCTGGGAATTTACCCAAAGAAAACAACTTCTCAGATTCAAAAAGACATATGCACCCCTATGTTTATTGCAGCACTATTTACAACAGTCAAGACATGGAAGCAACCTAATTGTCCATCAGTAGATGAACACTTAAAGATGTGGTACATATACACAATCAAATATTATTCAGCCATAAGAAGAAAGCAAATCCTACCATTTGCAAGAACATGGATGGAGCTAGAGGGTATTATGCTCAATGAAATAAATCAGGAAAAGAGAAACAAATACCAAATGATTTCCCTCTTTTGTGGAGTATAACAACAATGCAAAACTGAAGGAATAAAATAGCAGCAGACTCACAGACTCCAAGAAGGTACTAGTGGTTACCAAAGGGGAGGGGTAGAGGAGGACAGGCGAGGAGGGAGGGAGAAGGGGATTGTGGGGTATCATGACTGGTGCACATGGGTGTGTCAGGTCACAGGGGAGGCAGTATAGCTCAGAGAAGACAAACAGGGACTCTATGGCATCTTACTACACTGATGTACAGTGATTGCAATGGGGTATGTGGGGGGACTTGATAATAAGGGTGAATGTAATAACCATATTGTTTTTCTTGTGAAACCTTCATAAAACTCTATATTATTGATACCCTAATAAAAAAAAGAAAGAAAAGAAAACAAGTTTACAGAAAGAAAAGGAAAAAGTCCACAAACACACAGAGGCTTACCAACATGATCCTAAATAATCAATGGGGATCAATAACCAAATAAAAACACAGATCAAGCAATATATGGAGACAAGCGACAACAATAATGCAACACCACAAAATCTGTGGGACACAGCAAAGGCTGTGATAAGAGGGAAGTATATTGCAATACAGGGCTACTTCAGGAAAGAAGAAAAATCCTATATGAACAGTCTAAACTCACAGTTAATGAAACTAGAAAAAGAAGAACAAATGAAGCACAAATTCAGTAGAAGGAGGGACATAATAAACATTACTGTAGAAATAAAGAAAATCGCAAAGAATCAAACAATAGAAAGATCAATGAAAAAGCAGGTGCTGGTTCTTTGAAAAAACAAACAAAATAAATGAATCCCTAGCCAGACTTATTAAAAAAAGAGAGAGAGTCTACACACATAAACAGAATCAGAAATGAGAAAGGAAAACTCACTACAGACACCACAGAAATACAAAGAATTATTGGAGAATACTATGAAAAACCATATACAAAGAAACTGGTAAACTGAAGAAATAGACAACTTTCTAGAAGAACACAACCTTCCAAGGCTGACCAAGGAAGAAAAAGACTGAACAGACCAATTATCAGCCACAAAATTGAACTGGTAATCAAAAAACTACCTAAGAAAAAAAGGCCAATACCAGATGGCTTCACCACTGAATTGTATCAAACATTTAACTGAAGACCTAATACCCATCCTCCTTAAAGTTTTCCAAAAAATAGAAGAGGAAAGAATACTTCCAAACTCATTCTATGAGGCCAGCATCACTCTAATAGCAAAACCAGGAAAAGATACCACAAAAAAAGAAAATTACAGACCAATACCCCAGAAGAACACAGATGCAAAAATACTCAACAAAATATTAGCAAATCAAATTCAAAATACATCAAAAAGATCACCCATCATGATCAAGTAGTATTTATTCCAGGAACGCAAGGATGGTACAGTATTCAAAAATCCATCAACAAAAAGGACAAAAACCACATGATCATATAAATAGATGCTGAAAAAGAATTCAACAAAATTCAACATCCATTTATGATAAAAACTCTCAACAAAATGGGTATAGAGGGTAAGTACCTCAACATAATAAAGGCCATATAGAACAAACCCACAGCCAACATTATACTTAACAGCAAGAAGCTGAAAGCTTTTCCTTTAAGATTGGGAACAAGACAAGGATACCCACTGGCCCCACTTTTATTCAACATAGTTCTGGAGGTCCTAGCCATGGCAATCAGACAACACAAGAAATAAAAGGCATCCAGATTGGTAAAGGAGAAGTTAAGCTGTCCCTGTTTGCAGATGACATGATAGTGTACATAAAAAATCCCAAAGAATCCACTCCAAAACTACTAGATCTAAAATCTGAATTCAGCAAAGTTGCAGGATACAAAATTAATACACAGAAATCTGTTGCATTCCTATACACTAACAATGAACTAGCAGAAAGAGAAATCAGGAAAACAATTCCATTCATAATTGCATCAAAAAGAATAAACCTAACCAAGGAAGTGAAAGACCTATACCCCAAAAACTACAAGACACTTTTGAGAGAAATTAAAGACACTAATTAATGGAAATACATCCCATGCTCACAGGCAGGACGAATTAGTATTATCAAAATGGCCATCCAGCATAAAGCAGTATACAGATTCAATGCAATTCCTATCAAAATACCAACAGCATTCTTCAATGAACTAGAGCAAATTGTTCTAAAATTCATATGGAACCACAAAAGAATAGCCATAACAATCCTGAAAAGGAAGAATAAAGCTGGGGGGATTACGCTCCCTGACTTCAAGCTCTACTACAAAGTCACAGTGATCGAGACAATTTGGTACTGGCACAAGAGCAGAGCCATAAATCAAGGAAATAGAATAGAGGGTCCAGAAATAAATCCACACATATATGGCCAATTAATATATGATAAAGGAGCCATGGATATGCAATGGGGAAATGACAGCTTCTTCAATAACTGGTGTTGGCAAAACTGGACAGCTACATGCAAGAGAATGAAACTGTCAAATGGCGTACACAAAAGTAAACTCAAACTGGATCAAAGACCTGAATGTAAGTCATGAAACCATGAAACTCTTAGAAGAAAACTTAGGCAAAACTCTCTTGAGTATAAATATGAGGAACTTTTTCATGAACATATCTCCTCAATATAGGAAACAAAAGCAAAAATGAACAAATGGAGTACACATCAAGCCAGATAGCTTCTATACAGCAATGGATACCATCAGCAGAACAAAAAGTCATCCTACAGTATGGGAGAATATATTTGTAAGCTACATATCCGACAAGGGGTTAACATCCAAAATATATAAAGGGCTCACAATCAACACTGAAAACTCAACACCCAGAAAGCAAATAAAACAATTAAAAAATGGGCAGAGGATATGAACAGACAATTCTCCAAAGAAGAATTCAGATGGCCAACAGGCACATGAAAAGATGTTCCACATAGCTAATCATCTGGAAAATGCAAATTAAAACCACAATGAGATATCACCTCACACCAGTGAGGATGGCCAACATCAAAAAGAATAGAAACAATAAATGCTGGCGAGGATGAGGAGAAAGGGGACCCCTCCTACACTGCTGGTGAAATGTAAACTAGTTCAACCATTGTGGAAAGCAATATAGAGGTTCCTTAAAAAACTAAAAATAGAAATACCATTTGACCCAGGAATTCCACTCCTAGAAATTTACCCAAAGAAAACAACTTCTCAATTCAAAAAGACATGTGCACACCTATGTTTATTGCAGCACTATTTACAACAGCCAAGACATGGAAGCAATCTAAGTGTCCATCAGTAGATGAACACTTAAAACAGATAAAGAAGATGTGGTACATATACACAATGGAATATTATTTAGTCATAAGAAAGAAACAAATCCTACCATTTGCAAGAACATGGATGGAGCTAGAGGGTATTATGCTAAGTGAAATAAGCCAGGCAGAGAAAGACAAGTACCAAATGATTTCACTCTTCTGTGGAGTATAACAACAAAGCAAAAACTGAAGGAACAAAGCATCAGCAGACTCACAGAACCCAAGAATGGACTAGTGGTACCAAATGGTAAGAGGTTGGGGAGGGTGGGTGGGAAGAGTGGGAAAGGAGGATTAAGGGGCATTATGATTAGTGCACATAATATAGTGTGTGCACAGGGAAGGCAATATAGCACAGAGAAGACAAGCAGTGACTCTAAAGCATCTTACTATCCTGATGGACAGTGACACACATATATGTACATACATGCTTATATCTATATAATTCTACTTGTTCAAAGCCAATCAAATAATCCTATTATGAAATTCATTATTTCCTTACCTGTAATGCTAATAATTTTAATATATCTGAAGCATCATTATCTTCTAGATTTTCCTGGGAGAATATTTCATAAAGGGGGGCTTCATCTGGATATTTTTCACTATATGTAAATTTGAGGGTAGTCTGGACAGCTCAAGACACAAGGTAAGAATTTGATATTAATACCTTAAAATGTAAAGTATAAAGTCAACATTTTGGTTGAATTAGTAATTAATTTACAGTGTGTCAATGAAAAGTAGCACACCAGAATTTCCTGTAAAGGAAAACAAGGACACTATGAAACCAATTACTAATATGAAAAACACATACCACAAAGATAAGTGAAAATAATTCGAGAATACTAAAAATCACTTCTAACATATGAAACATTTTTACCATATTGCATGTCCAAGAAAGAGGATAGAAAAAAGCCACTCTTTTTAAAACCCTTCTTAAGATGAACAAAAAGCAATGAATATAACACAGAAAAAGAACTACCTTAGGCTCATTTTCAGGCCTCTACAAAAGCCAGTTCCCAGTGCAAAAGATCTAACTTTAGTCCTGAAGTCTGTATCTCTATCTGCACAATGCCAGCAGGAGATGCTAGCTGACACAGTTGTCACCTGGACATTTTGAGAGATTATCTGAGAAATTTTTAACCTGTCTATACATTTTCACTCACTCTTCTGGCTTGTGCCAATTCACAATCTGACATTTGTAGAGGAGTGAGATCCTTACAGACACATCAGTGCAAGGAATCTCTCTGCAACTCAGCTAATAAATTCTCAATTCTATCAGGCAATTTGCAACTAGGCAGTAATGCTAACTATTTTCTGTTAAAATGTATTAGTCACAATGATCCTTTGCCTAGATTTCACCTTTCTTGGAACTCATATTTTGATTATTAAAAACCTCCTGACTTCAATGATTTTTACTCAAATTTAGGGAAAAAACACCTTAAAATGTAGTTTGCTATTTTAATTTTTGTAAATGATCTCAACAAAGAATTTTATGAAGAATGGATATAAGAAAAATTGAGTGTTCAATCAGTAAGCACATAGTGCCTTTTGGCATTTTTTTTAATAGACACATTTCTAATTATATTTCTAGAATAAGGGTGGTTTTTTCCTAATTTATTGATTCTACTATATGATATAATAGACATTCATTATAGAAAATTTGGGAGTACACTGAGGGAAAAATTAAATCAGTAATAATCCCAGGATCAGGAAGAGATCACTATTACCATTTTGGCATATTTAAAGTACTTAAATGTATTTCTAAAAGGATACTTTAAAGTATCTTTCTATGCATATATTTACATTTTAAAATGTGAAAGGATGCTCATGTTCTGTTTGAGATTTTATACATATAACATCTCTATCTATGTACATATATGTAGGTAACTGTACCCAACATCCTTTCAACTTGGATTTCAGCTAACATCTCAATGTTAACCTCATTTTCCATTATACAAGACAGATTTAGAGTTATCAAGTGATACCACTAAAATTAGTATTACTGACTGTTCATGGCAGAATTTTAGTTGACTATCTTCCTAGGAAAAAAGAAATCCTTGCAGTTAATACCAACTAACATGTTTTTATCAAGTTACAATATTAACTGAACCGGACTAAAGATGGAAATGAACTCCAGATACTCCTCCCCCAACATCTGCCAAATATAAATTAACTTACTTAATTGTAATTTATTAGTTTCATGTACTTTTTTTGCATAATTTATTAGTTTTAGTCATTTATCTGGTTTTATGTATATAATATTTGAGTAACAATAGAACATCTATCCTAAAGAGACATGCAGATAAGTGTTTATCCAGGCCCAAAATCTCCTATCTTTTCTCCATCTGCTGTATTACTGTTTCCCTTTCCCTTTTAAAAACATTGTGTCCAAATGTATCTCATTAACTTCCTATTTCTCTAGAAGTCATGTTTACATAATAAATACAGATTAGTAACACACAACATTCATAGGAGACCCGTAACAGCACCATAGCACCTCTACACCTGCCATGCCCAGCACAATGGCTGAAGAATGAGTAAAATTCCTGAGAAAGAGGCTTAAGAAAACCATAAGTATTTCTGATTAGACTTACTTTCATCATTTTCTCCAGCCTCAGATGTCACAGTAATGGTGAAGCTGGGTGGATTTTCTGATAATACTGCAAGAAAATATACAAAGGGTTTAAGTTATTAAGCTGCTTCACAAGGCAGATGCTTGTCCTTATTAGCAAAATATCACTACCCAGTCCTGGAAATTGATCCCTAGCCTATATCTCCATTTCACAAATAGAACTGAATAGAATATTCAAGCGATAAAAAGTCCACCAATTGTCTATTTAAATCTAGGGTTGTCATTAATCTGGAAAGAAATACCTATAGTAGATACCCTCTTGGGAGTTTTATCAAATCAATTAAAATAGTTAATTTACTTTTAATTCAAAATTTCCAACTATACACATGGAAAATCACGTTCTAAAAAATTCCCAAATAGAATGACAAAAAAAAAAAGTTCAATGTTTCTCATCAGACACTATGCACTGATAAATATTCAGTATTATCACTGTTATACTTAAATATTCTTAAGTGTAATTGAGAATTTTCATGACAAACAGTAAATATTAATTTGTTAGGGTTTGTATTTTCCAGCTATCTCTTCCTTCCACATCACCTCTAGAACCAAACTTTATTTTTCACAAATTATTGAACCTCTACCACCTTTTAAGGAATTACAAAGTTAGCCATGAATTCAAACATCAAACTGCTTACAATTTGTTAAGCAAGACATATAAATAAACATATATGTAAATAAGATAGCTTTATATACTATTTCATAGCCTGATACCTATCAGACACTCTACATATGCTTATTATCTACTCTATGACAGGAATACTTAAAAACTCTCTAAGAGCTCTGAGGTCAGTACCTGGCAGTATCTAGTAACTCAACAAATTTTGGCTCAGTGAAAGAGCTAAATTCATGGGATGAAAGGATAAAAACAAAGAAACCTTGTTTTCAGAACCATTATTAGAGTAAAGAAAAATTCAAGCCACCTGTAATTGCTGCTGAGCCCATGAAAAAAGCCTGCGCTGGCTGGAAAGCACTGTCAGGGTTGGTAGCAGCTCAGAGCAGCCTCTTTGTGAAATGAAAGAGCCAGGTGATGTCTGAAGAAGTCACCATGGAAACTAGTCAGCTTCCTCCAGAACTTTTGAGGCCTTCATAAATATTCATTATCAATAAAATTCTAAGACATATGTGTTTATTCTAATTGAAGTTTAAAAGTCCTTGAAGCAATGATGAATACCTATGATTACTAGAAAGGTGTTTGTCAGGAAGATAAAAGACTCATTGGACTACTATGGATTTCAGGGAGTTCAGCCCATGCTGAAAAAGTCCCTGAAAGGCAGTTATAATAAAGCTTTCATACTATGATTGGCCTTATCTTTTTTTAACAAATGTGTGTAAAATATATTTGATGTATTTCATTCCTACTTCTTTCCATGACCAACTTCAGTATTTACATGTCATGAAAAAGAAACCATTGCAACTATAGAAATAAGGACTCAACCTAATGATATTCCAACTGATTACTATTTTCTGGGATTCAATTAGGCTGTACTTTAGGGGTCATCTATACCCAATAACAGCTAACAGTTATCAAGCATTACTTTATGCCTGTGCTGTGCTTTGCATTTACACAAAGATCCTTTAATTCTCACATGAAGGTCATGTTTTTATAGCAGTACCATATTTCACCAAACTTAGGATGCATCAAGTATGAGATGCACCCTACTCTATGTACTACTAAGAAAATATAATTGCCAATTAAACTATGATATGTAATCAATTACAAGATGATTCATATTTCAGATGTTAAAATGAAAGTGTTACAATCAAATATAGTGTTATCCCAACTTTAGATGTGAAAACTGAAATAAAAGAGCTCTTAAATAATTTGCCCAAAGCTATACAGCATGTAACTGATAGAACTGAATAAACTGTAAAGAGTTTTATTTAAAAAGAAGAAAACTTTTCAGCTGAGAAATTCCAGGGAAGCCATTTGAGCTCGGTTATGAATTAAGGTATATTGGTAAGCAGAGACCGAGAAAGGAATGTAGGTGAGAGTAACACAGAGGCAAGGGCATAGTGGTGAGAAAGTTTAAGGAATATAATGAATAAGAAATTATTCCATCTGATGGATGGATGTGTAGGTGAAGAAAACTAGTTATTAATTCAGCTAAAAGTTTAGGCTGTACACAGTGATAGTTGTGACTGCAGTAATATGGTCAGAATCGTATTTCTAAACATATGAAAATAAATCTAGCAACAGTGAATAAAATAGGAGAGAAACAAGACTAAGAGGTAGGATGAAACTAGATAGCTATTAAAATTATCATAGCAATGCTAATGAGGTTCTGAACAAGGTTGGCAGCAATGAGGACAGTGGGAACAGGGAGGAATCTAAGATATTGATGGATGACACTTTGAATTTGCGGAAGAGGACACTGATGCCACTAACAAAAACAAGAAATACAAATGAAAAATTAGGTATGATGTATTTGGAAGACTCAGGGTACTTTCAGTTGGAGATTCCGAGTATGCAATTGGAAACGGGCAAATGGAGCTAAAGAGAGCTGGGCCTAAGCTGAATTTGGGACCATGCACATCTAAAACCATCAGATCACCAGAGAGAAATAAATAAGAATCACCAGAGAGAAATAAAGGCCAACAAGCTTTGTAAGGAATCCTGAATTGGGGTAACAAAATTAAGAGGAGGAAAAAGTGCCAGAGCATAAAAGAAAAGCAGCATATGAGAGGTAAAAACAAAACTCCTAAGAAAAGTCTATTTTACTTGTGAAGCAATCCCCACTCTTGAGATCCAGGTCTGACATGTCTATAATATGCACCATATGTACCAGCTACGTGGGGAGAAAATAAGCAATGAACCATTGGCATATATGATGGTATCTAATCCCTAACAAAGCCCTTTGCAGTCTGGCCCCTGTTTACTTATCAGGTCTCATTTTCCATGATACTCATTTCTCACTTTATGTTCTAGCAATACCAATTCACTTGTCCTTTGAACACAGTTTGCTTTCTCACAGTCATGCTTCTGCATATACTGTACCCCCTTTCTGAGTCTCACTCACTTTACTCCTCATCCTCTCTCTGTTCTCCAAAACAACTCAGACCCTCCACTCTATGTTCCAATTGCATCCTATATATATCTCCATAAAAAAGTCACCACAGTATGTTATAAATTACTTATCCAATGTCTTTTCCCAATAGACTGAGCTTCTACCAATGCACATAGTAAATACTTGGTAAATGAGAAAACCTTTCAGTAAATGAGGGCACCAGGATACTAGCAAGAAACATCACTGAATTTCCTGACTTTGGGAACCAAATAGATTAGGAAGGCAAGATGGAGAATTTCCACATCACCTCTAGAACCAAACTTTATTTTTCACAAATTATTGAACCTCTACCACCTTTTAAGGAATTACAAAGTTAGCCATGAATTCAAACATCAAACTGCTTACAATTTGTTAAGCAAGACATATAAATAAACATATATGTAAATAAGATAGCTTTATATACTATTTCATAGCCTGATACCTATCAGACACTCTACATATGCTTATTATCTACTCTATGACAGGAATACTTAAAAACTATCTAAGAGCTCTGAGGTCAGTACCTGGCAGTATCTAGTAACTCAACAAATTTTGGCTCAGTGAAAGAGCTAAATTCATGGGATGAAAGGATAAAAACAAAGAAACCTTGTTTTCAGAACCATTATTAGAGTAAAGAAAAATTCAAGCCACCTGTAATTGCTGCTGAGCCCATGAAAAAAGCCTGCGCTGGCTGGAAAGCACTGTCAGGGTTGGTAGCAGCTCAGAGCAGCCTCTTTGTGAAATGAAAGAGCCAGGTGATGTCTGAAGAAGTCACCATGGAAACTAGTCAGCTTCCTCCAGAACTTTTGAGGCCTTCATAAATATTCATTATCAATAAAATTCTAAGACATATGTGTTTATTCTAATTGAAGTTTAAAAGTCCTTGAAGCAATGATGAATACCTATGATTACTAGAAAGGTGTTTGTCAGGAAGATAAAAGACTCATTGGACTACTATGGATTTCAGGGAGTTCAGCCCATGCTGAAAAAGTCCCTGAAAGGCAGTTATAATAAAGCTTTCATACTATGATTGGCCTTATCTTTTTTTAACAAATGTGTGTAAAATATATTTGATGTATTTCATTCCTACTTCTTTCCATGACCAACTTCAGTATTTACATGTCATGAAAAAGAAACCATTGCAACTATAGAAATAAGGACTCAACCTAATGATATTCCAACTGATTACTATTTTCTGGGATTCAATTAGGCTGTACTTTAGGGGTCATCTATACCCAATAACAGCTAACAGTTATCAAGCATTACTTTATGCCTGTGCTGTGCTTTGCATTTACACAAAGATCCTTTAATTCTCACATGAAGGTCATGTTTTTATAGCAGTACCATATTTCACCAAACTTAGGATGCATCAAGTATGAGATGCACCCTACTCTATGTACTACTAAGAAAATATAATTGCCAATTAAACTATGATATGTAATCAATTACAAGATGATTCATATTTCAGATGTTAAAATGAAAGTGTTACAATCAAATATAGTGTTATCCCAACTTTAGATGTGAAAACTGAAATAAAAGAGCTCTTAAATAATTTGCCCAAAGCTATACAGCATGTAACTGATAGAACTGAATAAACTGTAAAGAGTTTTATTTAAAAAGAAGAAAACTTTTCAGCTGAGAAATTCCAGGGAAGCCATTTGAGCTCGGTTATGAATTAAGGTATATTGGTAAGCAGAGACGGAGAAAGGAATGTAGGTGAGAGTAACACAGAGGCAAGGGCATAGTGGTGAGAAAGTTTAAGGAATATAATGAATAAGAAATTATTCCATCTGATGGATGGATGTGTAGGTGAAGAAAACTAGTTATTAATTCAGCTAAAAGTTTAGGCTGTACACAGTGATAGTTGTGACTGCAGTAATATGGTCAGAATCGTATTTCTAAACATATGAAAATAAATCTAGCAACAGTGAATAAAATAGGAGAGAAACAAGACTAAGAGGTAGGATGAAACTAGATAGCTATTAAAATTATCATAGCAATGCTAATGAGGTTCTGAACAAGGTTGGCAGCAATGAGGACAGTGGGAACAGGGAGGAATCTAAGATATTGATGGATGACACTTTGAATTTGCGGAAGAGGACACTGATGCCACTAACAAAAACAAGAAATACAAATGAAAAATTAGGTATGATGTATTTGGAAGACTCAGGGTACTTTCAGTTGGAGATTCCGAGTATGCAATTGGAAACGGGCAAATGGAGCTAAAGAGAGCTGGGCCTAAGCTGAATTTGGGACCATGCACATCTAAAACCATCAGATCACCAGAGAGAAATAAATAAGAATCACCAGAGAGAAATAAAGGCCAACAAGCTTTGTAAGGAATCCTGAATTGGGGTAACAAAATTAAGAGGAGGAAAAAGTGCCAGAGCATAAAAGAAAAGCAGCATATGAGAGGTAAAAACAAAACTCCTAAGAAAAGTCTATTTTACTTGTGAAGCAATCCCCACTCTTGAGATCCAGGTCTGACATGTCTATAATATGCACCATATGTACCAGCTACGTGGGGAGAAAATAAGCAATGAACCATTGGCATATATGATGGTATCTAATCCCTAACAAAGCCCTTTGCAGTCTGGCCCCTGTTTACTTATCAGGTCTCATTTTCCATGATACTCATTTCTCACTTTATGTTCTAGCAATACCAATTCACTTGTCCTTTGAACACAGTTTGCTTTCTCACAGTCATGCTTCTGCATATACTGTACCCCCTTTCTGAGTCTCACTCACTTTACTCCTCATCCTCTCTCTGTTCTCCAAAACAACTCAGACCCTCCACTCTATGTTCCAATTGCATCCTATATATATCTCCATAAAAAAGTCACCACAGTATGTTATAAATTACTTATCCAATGTCTTTTCCCAATAGACTGAGCTTCTACCAATGCACATAGTAAATACTTGGTAAATGAGAAAACCTTTCAGTAAATGAGGGCACCAGGATACTAGCAAGAAACATCACTGAATTTCCTGACTTTGGGAACCAAATAGATTAGGAAGGCAAGATGGAGAAGAAAGAAGTTTATAAATGATCAATCCATAAGAAATTATGATGAGAGGCATGTTCAGCAAAAGAATGGGAATGAAGAGCTGTGGGGCTACAAAATTCATGGACAGAAAGAGGAATTTCAGATGCCAAAATTTTAAAGATGGTATGTCCAAGGTGTGGCTATGCCCCCATGCAGTTGAAGGAAATGGAAATCAAAACCATTCATTGACAAAGACAAGAAATTATGGGGCAATAGTATTAGAAGAATCAGTAACCAGGTAAATATCTAGCAAAGAGTATCTTATAATTGTTTGGCAGTTATAAAGTATTTACACTTACATTATTCCTCATCAAACATATATGGAAACTGGGGCTTGGAGAGGTTAAATGATATGTACCCAGTATACCAAGCAGCCATTACAGAGAAAAAAATTGTAAACCAGGAACAACAACAAAAAGGGATACTGGAGAACACTGCTAATATCTCAAAATATCCACTCTCCCCTTTTTCCAGTGATACCATTTTAAAGCAAGCATACTGACCAACCAAAATAAAGACTACATTTCCCAGACTCCCTTCCATTTTCCATTTAGGTCTCACCAAATGACTAAGTTCCAGTTAATGACATGGAGGCAGAAAAGTTCTTTTGACTGTTTCTAGGAAATTTCCTTAAGAAATGGCTGTCTTTTACTTCTATATTTCCTTTATTATCCTACTGCCTTGGAAAAGGAATGGTGCCATCTTGACCATGAGGGTGAAAACTACATCATAGGGATAACAGAGAACTAAGAAGAATCTTGGGTCCAGAGATACTCTTAGACTAGAGCTACATAACTTTTAGTGCAAGAGCAATAAATTTTCACCTTTTTAAGAACTACTGTTATTTGGTGCTTTCTGTCACAGCTGAACCTAATCAAATATAAAACAAAATATGTAAAGGGATAATATTCCAAAGCTTGGATGTGACTAAAATAGGGATGGGAAAGTTACTTAATAGAACTTGCTAAGGGGAATGATTCATCACAACTCAGGGTCTGATTAAGGAATAATCCCATTCCAATGCTTTACTGTGAGTTGCGGTAAGCAGAGTAGCCTTCACTAAAGACACCAGATTTCTAACACTGTGAGTGGATCAAAATACTTTCAAGAAAAAGAGTAAGGTTGTTGGACATAGTGGAAGGAAGCAGTGGAAGTGCAGAAATGTCAAGTAATACAGGGGCAAATGATGGTAAATTTTACAGAATTAAGGATTTTGTCAAGAATAGAGATCATGGAGATAGTAGCTGAAAGGTACACTAAAGAACACAAAAATGACAAAAGTTTTCACAATTAAAGTATGGCCCTTTGATCCTTAGGGAATGTCTTTGAAAAGCTACTTTCACAAAATGGCTTCTGCCCCATCTCTAAGATGCAATTACAGCTGGTAAATGCTTATGGATGCTACTTAGAAGTACTGACTGCTACTTAGAAGTACTGACATAATCAAAAGTAGCATCAGGTAGCCTTCTTTGTAAGACCGAACAAAATTAAAGGAACTTATTATTTGGTTAGCCTGAAGCCAACTGATTTGTTCCAACAAAACTCCCCAGGGCCACAGATTTAAATACAGAAATGGAAATAACCAAATTCTACTACCTTAGCAAAACCTTGTCAAATGAAGGAGAATGTGGTGTCAGGAGAGTCCATTAGTATTTTGGACGACTAGTTGTTGGGAGGATTGGATCAATGTGTAATCAAGCTACAGAACAGGCAAAAAGAAGAAACTATATTATGATTTGTTATAATTTACAACAAATGCAACATTGGACCAACTCTTCGCAAATAGTCAAGCAATCAGTTCTGAGGTTAGGCTAGGTCTATGTGCTGGATGGATTGTGCCTCTTCAACATCCACAAGGGGGTCATGATGTGCTTAACAAAAGCTTCTCTGTCAAGCACTCAGCCATCTCTCTCTCTCTCTCTCTCTCTCTCTCCTCACACACACACACACACACACACACACACATACACATATGTATAAACACTTCCCTCATTCATGGAACTGATCACTTACCAAATCTAATATTAAATGTAATTTAAAATGAAGTTAGAAAACTACAAATTACTGTTCCTTGGCAAACTGCCACAAGTAAGCTGTCTTTCTTAAACCTGGTGCAAAAATATTAAAGTATGAAATCATCAACACAAGAGAAGACTGTAAAACAATAAACCTGCAAATCCTCAAGATTTCAAAAAATGAAACATGTAAACATTCCAAAGACCTCTGACCATTTCTGAGAGATTATAAAGAATATGATCATGAGTAAGGAAAATTACTAAAGAACTACAAATCAAGACATCTCATTTTAAATATTTATTGTAAAGCTTGAAGGAATGCTGATAGGAATTAGATGGGCTCAGCTGATACTGTGGACTACTTGAATACATCAAAGATTCATAAACTGTCTTTTATTACCATGGCTCAGAATCCTCAAGTACTTTTGGCATCTGACAAGATGACTAGTTGTTGGGAGGATTGGATCAATGTGTAATCAAGCTACAGAACAGGCAAAAAGAAGAAACTATATTATGATTTGTTATAATTTACAACAAATGCAACATTGGACCAACTCTTCGCAAATAGTCAAGCAATCAGTTCTGAGGTTAGGCTAGGTCTATGTGCTGGATGGATTGTGCCTCTTCAACATCCACAAGGGGGTCATGATGTGCTTAACAAAAGCTTCTCTGTCAAGCACTCAGCCATCTCTCTCTCTCTCTCTCTCTCTCTCTCTCCTCACACACACACACACACACACACACACACACACATACACATATGTATAAACACTTCCCTCATTCATGGAACTGATCACTTACCAAATCTAATATTAAATGTAATTTAAAATGAAGTTAGAAAACTACAAATTACTGTTCCTTGGCAAACTGCCACAAGTAAGCTGTCTTTCTTAAACCTGGTGCAAAAATATTAAAGTATGAAATCATCAACACAAGAGAAGACTGTAAAACAATAAACCTGCAAATCCTCAAGATTTCAAAAAATGAAACATGTAAACATTCCAAAGACCTCTGACCATTTCTGAGAGATTATAAAGAATATGATCATGAGTAAGGAAAATTACTAAAGAACTACAAATCAAGACATCTCATTTTAAATATTTATTGTAAAGCTTGAAGGAATGCTGATAGGAATTAGATGGGCTCAGCTGATACTGTGGACTACTTGAATACATCAAAGATTCATAAACTGTCTTTTATTACCATGGCTCAGAATCCTCAAGTACTTTTGGCATCTGACAAGAATTTCACACACGGAACTGTCTCAGATTTGTAAGAACCACAAGACTGCTTTAGGGTTAAAAATATATCACTTATAAATGCTTATATGCATAGTATTTAATGAGGGATATCTTATTTCCAAAGAAATGAAAATAGCATATCTTATGCTTTCTTAACATTGCCTACTCACAGTATTCATGCCTGTTACATTTCTAGTGTACTAGAAATGACCAAATGTCACAATTAAGAATATCCAACAACTGACCCTATATTCTATTTTATTTACACAATGACATATAAGCAAGGATAGAGAAGGGAGCCAGACTCCATACGCACTCACCCAGGTAATGACACTCTCAAACCCCTCTTCACTCATCCCCTTAACATCCTCACAGTACAGGTGTACTGCTGGTGAGAGAGAACATGAACAGGACTGGAGCTATACAAGGATAGCTGAGAGACATCTGCCTGTTGGCAAAGCAGAACAAAATTTGCTACCATTGCAAGCAGTGATCAAAAGGGGGAACTAAGAAAACTATAAACAGTTGAGAGGGAGAGAGGTTGGAGTATATGAGTTAAAATAATGTACTATTACACTGTGTTCTAACAATCGATCATGCACAACAAAGGAAGGAATGGGGAATGTCCCACAGCCTATGCTCTACTTGAGTATACTGGCTTCATTTGATCACTTCTCAAAAACTGAGTGTAATGTGAGAGAAGCCATATTATTGATATGGTTATCTTGCTGCATTTTCAGAATCATCTGAAGCGCATCTTAATACATATGTATTCTCTCCCTTTTAAATAGACCTAATGAACTTCTCATTACTATTTTACTGTAGCCCGACCTGCCACGTAATCCTCGGTTCCCCGTCATCCCAGCTGGAGCGGGATCCCAAGTCCCACATGTCTGGGCCAAGGAATGTGAAGGCGCAGGAAAGGCGTTCCAGACCTAATGCTTAGTACCAGTCCTGTCGCCAACCCGCTGGCCGACCCAAAGCAAGTCACTTAACTTCCTGAACTTTCTTTACCTTGCCTGCAGCCAGAGGAGTCCCGGTGGAAGATGTCTAATACCCCTGCCAGTCTAACAACCTGCGATTCTACAGTAGAACTGGGATTTGCGCTACATCAATGCCAGACCATAAAGCAAGAAAGAAAAGAAAGACCACAAACTTGAGGGACAATGTTACTCTTAAAGTTTTGGGTAACTCTGAGTACACTCTGACTCCCATAAACTTCAAAACACCGTCCTACGAAAAACAGCTTCTACCTGAATAAAGCTGAAAAATGTGAAAACTGACACCGTTGCAGCTCTTGAAAGAGCTATTCCCACTTGGCATTTTTATCTTGTTTTCGCGCTATTTCACTAAACCTCGGGTTGCCGTAAATTACATATAAACCAATGTGCCCCGATCCAATTCCAGGCCTGACACTCTCCGGGGACCTCGCCAGCCTTGTCCAGACTCCTAGATTTCGGAGAACGGACGGAGAAAGGTAAACAGTCGCGGTTACTCCTAACGGCCTGAACACGCTGGGGGAACTTGAGGAGAGAGCGACGGGCCGGCGGCCACGCGGCCTCGCTGTGCCGTCTCCTCCTGGGCCGGGAGGCTATGGGCGGCGGCAGCTCCAGCCCGTCCCACTGCACCCCGGGAGGCTGCGACCGGCGCCCGCGGGGTTCACCTGTGAAGGAGTCGGGGTAGATGGACTCCAGAGCCTCCAGCTCGTTGCGCTGCTCCTCGCCGTAATCTGTCATCGTGGCCCTCGCTGCTGCCCATGGACGACCAGACACGCAGGCGGCGCTCCGCGTCGGGCCACCGCCGCGCCGGGAGCTGGCGCAGAGTCCGCAGCAGAGAGCCTGGGGCCCAGGGTCTGGCCGGGCCTCTTAAGCAACAGCCCGCCGGCGGCCACCGCCTGCTCGCTAGCTCGGCGTTCGACTCGTTGAGCCTGGCCGGCTGGGCACTGAATCGCCGCCTGTGCCAAGCCCGCTCGGGATCTGCTGGGACGATGACGGCAGCCGGTCTGGCATTCGCTACAGACACCTCGGTCCTGTTCCTCGGGTTTCCCAGGGCCTGCGCCAGCGGAGCCACTCCTCGCGGCCTCCTCGCTCGATGTGTCGAGGCTGGCGCCGGGGCTGGGCGGTGTTTCCGTGGCGGGACTTGAGAGCGCCCGTGAACTCCGTCGCTTCCGGCTTCCGGTTTGCGATCGGGTAGTTGGCCGGGGGTGGGCGGATGTGCGGCTCGCTGTCGACTGATAGTGAGGTTCGGGTGGTTCTGCGCTTCTGAATCTCTGGTTCCTTGGTGTCCCGCGGCTGCTGGGCGAGTGGCCGAGACCAGCATCGAGTGCCTGCGCAGAGGAGCGGAGGCTTTGCTAGCGCGTCGGGCGGGTCCGGAAGGGTCGGCTCGACCCGCTCGTTAGCCGGGCGGAGTCGGTCGCGGGGAGAAACCGAAGGGAACTCCGGAGATTTGGGTTCTTGAGTCACATCTCCAGGCTTCGCTTTTCACTTTGTAAAGTAAACACGGCTGGACATAGAGCTAAATGTCTGTGATTATTTTATGTGAAGTGGTGAAGGGTGTGTAGATTTCAGTAGCATTCTTGATAAGCAGCCTAAATAAGTATCCATAGGAACCTTTGATTTGGGAGAATAAAACTGAGAAAGTAACACTTAAAACATATGCCTCAATTATCTCCAAGTTCGTCACAGGAGTTACAAAGAAAATTTTCAAAGCACCTGGCAAAACCTAAGAAAACGGCTGAAACATTGTACTTCTATGAGAAGTATGTTGAACTATTTACAGTTACGTTTACAATAAAGAAACAGCCGTTAAGTCAAAAAGATGTGAAAAGTAATAAAATACTGCAACGTATCCGAGTTAAACACTTATTTTATATTTTCCTTTGTTCCTGTATATTATAACTGGGTTCACTTTTGTAGTGGGGGAAGTAAGAAACTTTGTTTTGAAATAAGGAGCTCCCTAATTATGAAGGCTGAAGTTTTCTCTTGTTCAAATGATGATGTTCCATGGACCAGAAGGTATCTTGATCTTTTATGCGAAGTATTGCTTTCTTACAGCAGAGGAACACATTAAAACAAAGCATTCCAGTATATTTTGCTACTGATTATTTAATACTTAAGTATTAAGGTTTGAGGCATTCTTAAAACTTCCAGGAAAAAACTGGAAAACGCTCCTGATGATGGTGAGAATCAAATAAAATATATGAGGTAACTTTGCAAACATAAAATGCTTATTTTTTTGGATATTGGCAGTTCAGAGAAGTCAATGGTTTGTTGCCAGAGAAAGCTACTGGACAGGGAACAGCCAGTGCTACTGTCCTTAGAGGCAAGCCCGCTATCATTTGGAAGCCATGTGAGAGATGCAGTTAAGCTGGGAGGTGGGGGAATTTACAGATCTTGTAGGATGATTGAAGGGTTTAAATGAAAGAATGACTATATGACTCCGTTAATTTATAGAAAGACCGCCCCTGATACCAAGTGTAAATACACTTAAGGGCAACAAAGTCTGAAAGACCAATTAGGAGGCTTTGGCAATAGTACAAGCAAAAGACAATGGTGACTTGGACTGGTAAGATGGAAGTGGTAAGACTGGTCAAATTCTGCATACACACTGAAGGCAGAGTTATGAGAGTTTGATGTGGGCTGCAAGAAAGGAGTTAAAAATGATTTTTTTCTAGAACAACTTTATAGAAGTTCTTTTGGCCAAAATGACAGGTGATAAAGAGTATGAATTTGGCAAGAAAGTAACACTTTTAAATAATCCACTGACCAAAGAAAAAAATTGAAATTTTAAAACTTGTCCTAACTGATGATAAAAACACAGCCTATCAGAACAGATGAGATGCAGCAGAACAATTTAAGGTATGAGAAAAAGGTTGATACTGACTGTAGGTTTTAATTTAGTAAATGGAGTGTGCCTTTACTTGCCTTACTATTTTATTAGAATGTTTAGTAAAATAACCTTTGAAACCTGCTACATTTTTGCTGTTAAGCCTTCATATTTCAGAATCCTCAAGTGGGTTTTTGTTGTTTTTAAATACTGAAAATAACTTCCTAAGGAAGTTCCAGTGCTAATGTATTCAAGAAAACACACCCTGGTGGCAGCTGGCCTGGCATTCTCTATGGACACCTAGATCCTGTTTTTCTTTTTTAAACCTGCATGAGCATCACTAAGTTTTTTGGTTCTCTAATTTCAGTTCAACAATGACAGAAACACTTTACAGAATATAGGAAGGCATTTAACTTCCTGAAAGTGAAGAGTTTTTATGAAGCAAACTGCATTCCTTTTAGTGTTACATTTTTAATTTATGATTAAAGTTGTTACAGGACAATGTATTCAAGCTTTGCTGGTAGGCAAATAGTGTAGTGAGAGCAACCATAATGGGATCTGGAGCCAGATGGGAGAAGCCCAGCCTTAGCTGCTTATAAGCCAAATAAGCTGCTAGGATTTTTCAGGTAACATGAAATAATGTATATGAAAACACGTTGCAAATTCTAAAGTAGGAAGGATATCAGTGTTATTTGTAATTTTTAAATATATATAACATCCTCTGAAGGACATCATTTTCTGTTGCTGATTTCTATTCATCTTTATTACTAAAGAAAAATGTCCCACAGAGATTCCTCTTACTCATTACTATTCATCTAAGTTTCTTCCACAAATAATTGGAACTCACAGTTGCTATTTCCTAATATTATCAGTCTTTAAAAAAAATTTTGCTTTAACGTTTGGTTTAAAAAATTTTGGCACACTTCTTCCCCTAGGAGTTTTCTAGGCAGTTTCACTACTCTGAGGCACAAAATTTAGAATTCCCTATTTGGAGGTTAATCTTAGCTTTCAAACAGTTCATTGTGGCTAAGGTTTCATTTAGTCAGGTGACTCATCACCAGTCATAAATACAAACAGCCATATGAAATTCTCATTCTGTATACTCTGAAGAGTTCCCTTGAGGGGTAGTGAATCTCAGTATCACTTCCAAACTAATGATCTCCCTGCTTCCATCTTACCTTCTACAGTCTGCTAAGACACAGCACAGCAGAGTGATCCTGCTGCAGTAATTTAGGTCATGTCACTCCTTTGCTTGTAACTGCCCTCTCTCATCTCAGATTAAAGGCACATCTGTCTCCCTAACCCTTATCTGGACCTCTTGTTACCTCTTTGATCTCTCCTATTGCTCTGCTACCCATCCTCTGTTCCAGCCACACTAGCCTCCTTACTATTCCTCAAACATTCAAAGCAGGTTCTCTTCCTAATGACTTTGCACTTACTCTTCCCTCTGCCTGGAATGCTCTTCCATACCTACAAGGCTTACTCCCTCACTTCCAACTCTTTCCTCCAATGTAACTGAGGCAGGAGGTAACTGGTGGGGTAGTTAGAACAGGGCATGTTGTCTTGGTAGAGATCGGCTAAGCAAGATGAAACCGGGCATTGTGGTCAGCCAGCCTAGGCGATGCGTAAGAAACCACTTCCTGAAATGGCCAGCTTAAACAAGGTGGGGGGGTTCTGATTCCAGCCCAGTCCCAGAACAAGTCCTAGGTAACCCTGTGGACTTCCAAATCTAGCCCTAGCAACAGGTCCTAGGCAACTAGGTGGACTTTCTCCTTTCCAGTGCCTATGATCTCCTCCTCTCAAAGCCCCTCCTGATTAGCAGGATCCTTCTCTTTTCGTTCTTCATTGAAAGCGCTGCTGGTTGTTCTGTATTCTTGTCTGTTGACTTCATTTTTCATCACTTCCAAGACATGATCCTGGGAAAAACAGCATCTCAATTGATAAGAGAACTTTCTTAATGAGGCTACCCCCACCAGCCTACTTAAAATTACAACCACTCTTTCCTCAGTATTCTGTATCACCTTTACCCTATTTTATATTTCCCATGTCACATTAAAATTGCACTGGTTAATTCCAGTGCAATAAATACTGTTTATTCTCTCCTCCCCACTTCCACTAGCATTTACATTCCATTAAGGGCAGGTATCTTTACTGGATTTTAGCATATAGGGCAGTGCTCAACTGTGGGCACTCGGAAAATATATATATTCTATGTATGAATGAGAATGAATCCAACAGAATGGTAACATATTACTTTAAAAGCACTGGGCCTTTAATCTGAAGTACAAGCAAAGAAGTGACATGACCTAATTTACACTGCAGCGGGATCACTCTGCTGTGCTCAGTCATAGTAGACCGTAGAAGGTAAAATGGAAGCAGAGAGGTCATTAGTTTAGAATTACTTCATTCTAAGGGTAGCTTATAGCCTTTCTTTACAATTGATTTACCATATGTATTTTGACAAGCCAAGCCCTCTCTTGGTCTTAGTTTCCAATCTATAAAATGAGGGAATTGAGCAAAAAGATACTTTCCAGATGTAAGAATCTATTATTCCTCAAGGTCATGCATAATTGGAGCCAGTTGTATGGAAACAAACTTCAAAATTAGCAGTTAACATCTCTGACCCAAGGTGTCATGGCCGAAAAGAGCTATCTGTGGGTCTGTTGGTATCTGTGGGTCTAGATGTCATGAACCATACAACAGATGGGGCCTTAATTCTGTGCAACAATAAAGAAGGGTTGTCACTAGTTTTAAGTGAGCTACACTTCCAACATTGTCCTGCATGTATGGATAAATTATGAAATGGACAGACAAATTGCATTTGTACATGTTCCTGTTCACCCACCCTAGCAAGAACCATTTTGATACTTTCTATCTTCTCTTTGACTTTTTGTTTTCTTCCCTTCTTCCTCCTCCCTCTTCACTTTCTCTCCTCCCCCCACCCCTTAACCTGGGCCCTGCCCTGCCCCCCACC